AGAGTGAACAGGTGACCTAGACGGTCTTCACCAAAGCCAGTCATTTTTCACCATTTTTAAATTTCAGTCCCACATAACATGGAAGCAAAAGTACCAAATTAATAAAATCTCTGGGTCTATTCCTGCGATATTTTTGTTATGTCAGGAACACAGACTTCCAGAGAACTTGAGATTAGTTTCTTCCTATCTGATACCTTTGGTTTTGCCACTTCAACTCAGTGAAGTAACACAGTGATTTACTTTCTGCTTTCTGGCTCTCATCATGGAAATGCAAATTACTGCACAGCAGGTCAGATACTGGAGAAAGTAGGTACTTTGGTACAAGGTTTCTAACCTGAGTTCTAGCCCCAGGAGTTAAATGAGCATACAAACCTCTGTATCCTTTGAAGTTCATCCCAAGTCTAAATAATTCTGCAGTCAGAGAAAGTTCATGTCCTGGTTGAGTTTCTAGTAACTGAGGGACAGCCATGAGTTCTGAAAAGTATTTAATTACTTCAAAGCAGGGTCAACATTAGAGAGCTTCATTTTCACATGAAAATCCACCACCCCCATCCCCCTCCACCATTTTGCTCTGAGTAGGAAAAACAGCACAACATGTTTGCAGCCTGGAGGGCTTTATTGCGCCTTGCCACTTGTGCAGCTCCAGAATTCCTTCTCAAGCCAGTGTTTTGAGCAATATGGGAGCCACTGATGTCAATGGAGAAAGAGAGAGCTTTGTGGTGTGCTGCTGGTGAGCTTCAAAGCATCCCATGAGAAGTGTCATCTTCTGTCCCCCAGCTTTTTACATGTAGGTGTTCTTTGAGAAACACTGCTATTAATGACCATTGTGTAGTGCTTCAACAGATTTGGTAGATAAAATACAGCCTGGTAATACGAGATGACTGTCCACTTCATTTTTCACGTTCTCACAGCACCACATGGGTGATGGGTGACCCAATTGTTATTGAGCAAATGAATACAAGAGAAAAGGAGACTTTCTTCATCACTGAGACAAACTGTGAGGCTCCCTCAAGCAGCCCTCCTTGCCTTCTAGGTGAATTAGCACCCTGTGTGTCTGTGAATCAGAAAGCCAGACAGCAGAGCACTTGTCACCAGTGAAAACTGTGGTGACAAGATGGGCTTAAAGCAGAGAGATGTGATTTCCTCTGGGGGAGAAGGAGGGTGAAGTAGAGAGGGAGGAGAGGGAACCAGAATTTTGCCTTATTCCTCTAAGGGTCCTGTTGCCCCTGTGTTGCACTTTGTCATTATCTGAATTGCTGGAGCATCCTGTCAAATCAGCCTCCTGCATAGATTTTTAAAATCTCTAATTGACACCTGCAAGGTTACAAGTTAGCAGTGTGTCTCCATTTGCCCTGCACTGCCTTTCAGGGCTCTTTCCCCTAGCTCCAAGGCTCTGGAGTGCTGCACAGTCAGTAACCTGCCGGGGTATGAGGCAACCCAGGCTGTAGTTGTGACCCTGTGATGTGACCTGGTGTTCGTGTGACAGAGAAAGCTTCACTTTTTTCCTTTCTCTTTTAACTATTATGCAAATGTTTCTCCATGTTTCCTGTTTATCACAGACTCTGAGCCTCCCTAGACAGGCTATTCTGAGCTTGGCCTGCTTTCTGACAATTGCATCTGCATTAAAGCAAACACCCCTGCAGGGTTTCTCCATTCCCCTGTCCTTGCCAGCTCTGAGCTGGACAGCACTCTGTGGCTTGCAAGCACAGGGATGCGCAAAAAAGGCATGCCGAGGGCTGGCAAAGCTCTGGGGAAGAAGGCAAAGCTGCATGCTATTTCAGGCCTCTTTTATTTTGCCAGTGAATTCAGATACCTCTCCTTTGCTATTGACACGGTGGCTGCTAGGTCCTCCTGAGCCATGCATCAGTAAAATCACTATTGAGTTCTACAGTTTGTGTCCAACCCATATTAATTACTGGCTTCTCTGTGGGGTATAAAAAATGAATAGGATCCGGGAGAGTCACCCATCAGTAATGACTGCAGTAGTAATTTTGAGCAGGTGGTCCATTGCATGTTCTTGTGAACTGTTGTTTTTCTTTGAAAGGGAAAAGAGGCAGAACACTGCTGTAAGATTTTTGAGGATCATTTTTATCAGATTGCTGTTTAGAGAGCTGGGAATCTCTAGTTCTTGAAGTCATACAGCCATTAGAATCTCATTCCTCTACACAGGGCCAAGGCCTGGACTATGAGAAGTACAGTAATGACACTTCTGCTTCATAAAGCCCCTTTTCACTGAAGGATTATACAAAGTCATACTGAGATGAGTAGATTAGTTTTGTCCTTGGTTTACAGCTAGAAGTGGTAGCAGACTGTGGAAAGCTGACTACTTGCTTGCGCTGGAGTGGTGCAACACACTGCTGTACTGAAGTAAAATGCTGCCAGGCACATCAAGTCAGATGCTTTCTGCATACCTGGGGTTGAAATCAAGACCTCCGAAACTGTATTTCCTCTCAGGATTTAGTTCCTGGGAAGTTAAAAATATGCACAGAACCTTCCACACTCACACACTTAAAATTATGAAAGTAAAGTAACTCAGGTTCATTTCTATTTAATTGATTCCTAGGGTAAATCTGTAGGTAGTAAGGAGGTACTTGCTTTCTGGTCTGGTTTTCTCTTATAGAGCATAGGCCATGCGGTGCTGTAACTGAATGCCCTCCTCCAAGCAGTAGTCATAAGTAACTGCCTCTTCTCATGCTTTAGGACAGTAACCAAGCAGGACCCTGAATGGATGCTGCCATCCATCACTCATTTGGTCTGAATGTACGTTGCCACCACACCTACTAGGAGGTTTTTCAGAAGTGAATCGTCGATGCAGTTAGACAGCGCATCTGCAGGGAATTTCATCTTTCACAGGCAGGATATCCCCTCGGAGGGAGAACGGGGTTGGATGATCCGTGCCATAGCTAGTGCAATGGTCACATTGCCCATGTTATACCTGGTCTCCCCCATCCAAAGGGAACTTTGTTGGAGTTCCAGTTTCTGAGCAGATGCGGTACATGGTGCTGATGGTGAACCTCAGTGCTTATTATTGGAAGAGTGTTACGGGAGTGCGTGCTTCTTCTGTTTTGTTTTTCCTCATTCTTGAAGCAAATCCAACTTTATAAATTATAGGGCTGAACAAGCCCTCTGCAAATATCAGTGCATATTTTGTAAGAGAAAAGAGTAACAGGTCTTTTTGAAGAGGAGACGAAAATGGAATAAACTAGCTCTCCCCCTGGTTTTTTGGTGGAATAGCTGTACAGTTGAAATCTACCCAACTTTCATTTCCTATTTGTATAAGCGCCTTTCATCTAAGTGCTGGCCATGAGTAAGTTACGCCTACAGAGCTGTCACCATCAAGTACTGTGTATCGCTGAATTCATAGCAGTTCTGGCAGTGCTGAACTGCGTACATACATGTTTACATGCATTCCCCACTTCTCTGAAGGAGCTATTTCCAGATATCCCAAGTGTGGAAGTGGATCTCAGATGACTTTTAACTCTGCAGAGAGGAATACGTGTCTTTGAAAGACTAAGATTGACACATGTACAAACACCCTTTCTTCCATCCTGATATGTGAGGAAGGCCAAGGGTGATGTTGTGCGAGAGTTGCTTTTGCTGGTTTTGTGTGGCGGTGTAGAGGAAGAGAGATCTGGGGCGATACCAATGTTCTGGGAAATCCTCTTCCTCTGCAGAGTGCTGGAAAACTACTGTTTTCTAATTTCCTATTGAGTATCTTACTAGCATTCAGGGAAAGTTGTCTGTGTTCAGGCTTAGCAGAGGATGATATCTCAGGAAATTAAAGGACATCAAGACCTAAAGGTGTACTGGGGCAAGTTCCTAATTACTTGTCTGATCCATGCAGGGGAGATGTTAAGGGATGGTTTTGTAGTCTGTTCATGTTTTGTTAGCATAGCAGCTCCAGGACAATCAGTTATTTGAAGGACTGGAAAAAACCCTACCTAGTTGTCCTTGTTTGCTCTTTAGGTCCTTTTCCTGCCTTTGTGGATTCCTGGAAATTTGTCTTGCCCAACTGTGCAATGCTTAGACTGTGTCTTGTTGCAGAGTTTATTTCCGTTATCTACAGTCTCCACAGTGCTACATTAACTCCCTTTGGGTTAGCCTAGGTCAAATCAGAGTGGTTACAGTGTGGCTTCAAGCAGCACAGAGCAATTTTGCTAGCAGCTGAGGAATTGCACTGACTGCATCTCTAATGAATACCCTTAGTAAATTCAAGTTAAAAGCACCACAACAGTCATGATAGGAATTTTGGGTGAGAACACGGCTTGCAGTAATTACACGGACTTAGTCACAACTTGTTAACTCCGTGTTGAAGATGGTCTTAGAAGTACCCATGCTCGGACAGATTGGGAATTGAGAGAAAGCACAGTCTTAAGCTTGAGGCTCTGAACACTATGTCTCCAGTAATCGAGTTTAATTTCTTGTTGTGCCTTGTACTTCTTAGGTCACTTCTTATATTTCTTTCCTTTTCTGTGTCTCAGTTCTGCAGCTATAAAATCACATTGCTGTCTGTCTTCTGCTCTTTGTCTCCCCTGCATACACTGCAAGTTCTTCAGGATGGGGATTTTCTAATATTAAGTGTGCAATATGTAGTGCAGCATGGCCACACCTGTGTCTGTGGGAGGTCAGGAGAGCCCTAAGTGACATCTTAGAGTTTCTGTACTTTGAGAATATGTGACTTTGGATTGTGAGGCAGGCACAGCCTTGAATGCTCATATATCTCCTACATCTAATTCCCTTTGGTAGATTCGGGACTTTTTTTTCAACCTTGAAATTTTGCTGGTTTTCTGTTCTGCAGGGCAGGGAGTGCTGAGGCTGAATGAATTTAATTTTTCTTAAATTATGTGAGTGCTAAATAAGATACATTGTTATAAGTTGCTGTATCCTCTGCATATAAAGAGGAGTGGAAAATGGATAAATGGGAAGAATATGTGTGATGATATCTAATGTATTCTAAGACCAAGCTTATAATTTTCTCTATTTCTTTTTGTTTCTTCCAGGTGGAGCGGGAAATAGCCATCCTGAAGTTGATAGAACATCCCCACGTTTTAAAGCTGCATGATGTTTACGAAAATAAAAAATATTTGTAGGTATTACTGGCTTTTGCCAGAGAAAGGGGAAGGGAGGGAGATGAGGGTTTTGGAACTTGGTAATATTTCTGAAAGAATGGAGCAGGGTGTGTTTTCACCTTCAGCTGGTGTCTGTGTGATATTTGGTACTTGGATGAGGGAGGAACATTCCCTATTTCTTTGGCTTTTCTCGTTTTCTTCTCTGTACTTATATGCTGCTTCTTTTCCTACTTAAAATGGAGGAGAGAGGACAAACTAACGTTTTCTATCAAACAGCAAGAAGGGAGAAAGGTTTGAACCTTTAAGATCTGGAACCATTTTGAATCAAAACTGTAACAGGCCGTTACAGTGGATAATTTGGAAAACCTCCCTTGCCTAATAGTTTTCATTGAAACCCTCAACTCTTACTAACAATATTTTAAATTTGCCCCATCAATAACTTTTTGGTTTTAAGGGCTGCCAAAATATATTGGTTCTGCAGTAAGAGTAAAGTAGCAAAACTTTTTTTTTTTTTTTTCCCAGATCATTGCCAGTGCAGACAGGGATGTTGTCCACAGAGTCATTTTAGCTTGACAGGGCACTAGATATGTTGAATCTGTTGTCAAACAAACAGGCCACATTAATCTTGGCACAACAGGAAAAAAAATCAATGTTCTCCAAATGGTAAAGGGCAATCCAGTAGGGAACTCAGTGTTATTTTCAGCTGTTTAAGAGGTTATTGCAAGTAGAAGAGAGTGGTTAAAAAAAAATTAAAACTGTTTTTAAAAACCACCATCCATTGGTGACCACTCCTTAATGTCACAACACAAGAAGGGAATGACTGCTTACCCAAAGAAAGTGTGTTGAGTGGAGGTAACAACTCCTCATGGACAATTCAGCCAGTCTCATTACTGGAGCAATGAATTCCTATTCCGAGAAGTGAGGCCTTTGTGCCTAAGGGTTAGCTTAGTAGAGCAGGCAATAATTTCTTTTGGATTCCCCATCCTCCTTTGGGGTAGAGCCTGCCATCCGCAGTGAAATGTGGTTGCCAGAGTGAGCTCATGCAGGCACTGGGTGGGGGCTGGCTCAGCTGTTCTCTGAGCTGCATGCCGAGTGCTCTATTCTCAGTGGCATAAATGGTCACAGCTCCATTAAGTCCAGTTTGCCCCAGCTGAGGACAGAGGCCCAGATCTAACACAGCCTGGTCTGCATGCAGCAGAAGGGTAGCAAAGGAAAATGAGGGTTTACAGCCAGTAAGTTCTCCTTTAATCCTGAAAAGAGTAAGAGTACATTCCTCTGTATTTTGGTTTAAAGCGCGGGTAGGATGAGGCCCCAGGCTTTCTTTTGGTTAAGAGAGAGGGAATATTCTTCTTTGCGATCCTTGTTTATTTGTATGTTGTGTAATCTTATTTTTACATGCATAAACACATACGCACTTGCATAAACACATCATACAACTGATGTGTTCAGGTAGGTGTAGTATATTGAGCAGCAGAGACAACATATGAATACATGAAGAAGAAAGGCCATGATCATCACTTGGAGTGAGGGGATGGGTTATAGAGGTGCTGAAGCTTTCTTCTTGCTCTGAATGCCTGTGAAGCTGAGCTCTTCTTCTTTACCCCAAAAAACTTGGGGGCTGTTTTGCTCCATGTGGAAAACGCATAGTGCTCAGAGCAGTGGGGATGGTCTTACATCAAGATTTCAAAAAAATTACTGCATTCCTTGGCAGAAAAATATCTTCCTACTGAAAATCACCTTGAAAAGGGAAGCATCCCATATCTTTAAGCTGTATCTGGATATCCTGACTTCTAAAAAATGTTGGGCTCCAAAGCGTGCTTTGCCAGTGACCGTTTAGCCTTTAACAATCACTAAGTCTTCTTTGTGCTGTAGCTCCTCTGCCTGTAAGATTGAGAGGTCTGCATCTCCCCGCAAAGGTACTGAATCCCTCTGCTGAAAGACACTGACTCTGTGAGAGCCAATGACTGTTAATTACGTTTCTTTTTTTATTAGTCACTATTTTAAAGAAAGGGTACAATGCAGAGCTTTTGCCAACCCTCCGTGTTCAAAATTAGAAACAGACGTGGCCTTGGATAAATCTAAGAGGTGGAAGAGAGTGCCTGTGGAGGAGTGAAGCGTTACAAGTGTGTTGGGGCTGAGGAGAGTGTATACATGTACTTTCCCAAATACTAAGACACAGTGACCTCTAGTTTTCACCAGCATCAAAAAAGAGATTACGCTCTGGTTGTGGCAGCACCTTTCCATCATGCATGCCATCTCAGCAGTAACGGCAGTGGCATGGTTTCAGAGGAGCTCATGAATTATGGGTGATATTTCAGAAGCCGAAGACTAATCACGATGCAGCACTGGGGAGTATTTCCTCGATAAATGTTAATTTCACAAATCATGTTTGACTTTTGGTTTATGATTTAATTTGTGACAAAGAGCTTTGGTTGAGTAGATTTCTAACGTGACCATGAATCAAATCCCTTTTCCACAGTTTATTTAACACTGAAAATGAGTTTTAAAAAATAATAATAAAAATCTGTTAGCGTATGTGTGTTAGCCTAGCAGTCATTTTCTGTTTGTTTTGGTAGTTTTTTTACCAAGATGGTTGGAGAGATGGAGATAGCTATGAACTCTAAGATTTCCAGGTCTTTTTCCAGCATTGTGAGTTGTCTTATTTAGTAAGACTGTGGACTACAGTTGTAGGTGCATAGGGGAAATGCAGCTGCACCGTGGCGCTCTGCATGTGGGCTGATATACCACCTCAGATATACATTATGTTAGCTAAACTAGCGGTATTACTGACAGTTGAATTATTTCGCATTTGTTGTATGATCACACTCATGGCCCTCAAGCAAGATTGGGAGTCCACAGTAATAGATAATTTAGAAATAGCTACAGACAATCTATGCTTCCCTCTCTGCCATCATATAATGCTAATAGACAAAACAGCCAGGAAGGGGGGATCATCCTCCCATTTTAAAGATCAAGAATGAGTTAAAATAGCCTGGTATGGGGTAAGCCCAGGGTTGTTTAAGAACTTATATTGCTGGTTCATAATAGGGAATGATCAATGAGCTACCAAAATTTGTGTGTGCACCAGTCGTTTTGACTAACCATGTTCAAACAGTCAGGAATTTTAGGGAAATGTAAATAACCTAAGGGAATGAGCAAGGCGATAACAAAGCTGGTAACAGTTTTGGTGTGTTCTGTAATGCCTATCAGAGGGGAAACACTCCTTTGGTGATACAGCTTCTGCATTGCAAATAAACTGTGTGAACCTTGGTGATGGTCCTCTTTTCTCTCTGCTATGTATAGAAGAGGTCTTTCCTGAACTGGCCCTAGATAGGATTAGTGTAGCAACTGGAGAGGAAGGCAGAGTTCATACACTGTTAGCAGCACTACCACTGTGCATGAGCAGGAGGTTCTCATTAGCAGTCTTGTTGAGGATTAAATAAGAGGAAACATGCAAAGCCCAGTCCTTCATGAGTGAAGTGGTTAGCTCAGATTTTTTCTAGGAAGCAATCTTATGCTTTATTTTTAAATGTCTGATATGTACATTTACTGCATTTCATGCAGTAAATTCAGCATTCCTTTTGATCTTAGAAAAGCAGTCGTCCCACTGTTGGAGGAGCTGTTAGCATGGCAACCTAAGTGCCATCGTATAGTCCACAGGAGAGAGACCTTCTCTTTCCAGAGGGGATAAAGCTGACTGATACAGTTTTGCTGCAGAACTCCCAACAGGGGTGGCATTATCCATTTGATCTCATTTGTTTAGCTATTTAGTTTAAATTGTCAGGGGTTTGGCGGGGAGTGGAAACGACATAGAATAAAGACATCCTAGGACCACTCCATGCCCTTTTCTTTCAGATGTTTATACTAGTATTTCTTGATTCCCTTTCCATCAATGCCTGTATATATATCTGTAAATTTCTATTTATAGGTGCATACAGATATTTGTGTATATATGTGTAGATTTATATTGATTGATTTTCAAATCTTCACAGTTAAGATTTCAAATTCTCAAATTTTGTGGGAGCATTTATTTTAAATCTCTATGTTGTCCAACTTGATCAGCATTTTAAACAAGAATCTGTTTTGAGAGAAGGAATGGACATCAGAATATCATTCTCTGAAATGTGCCATGCATTCATCAGGTCTTTTTCCAAGCACAAGTCCCTTTCTCATCATTCAGCAGTACAGTGCTATCACTGGGCAAGTGTCCAAGCCTTATTGCAATGTACATAATACACATTGCTTCCCAATGAGCCAGATAACAAAACTAAAATGTCCTCCTACCCGCGTACAACTCACGTTTCTGGCTTATACAAATCAGCTGACAGCAGAAGTCAAAGACTTACAACTCTGGTGGTGTCTGCAGAGGCATTCATGCTGCCAGTCCTCTCCTGCAGGGTTTTCCTGTAATTCTTGGGGGTTTTTGTTGAAAACTAATTGTGAGGTGCCAGAGGATGCAAGAAAGAGAAAAAAGGGTTCTGAGTGTTCTTCTGTTATTGGTAGCCGAGGACTTTGACATTCAATCCATCTGTAGGGAAACTTGTCTAAAGGCAGAAGGAGAGTTCAGAAAGTTGGAGCAGCTCCAAGGGCTCAGCGCTGAAAATTAATTTTGTGGTAGGTATCCTTCTTGGTAGTCTGGTTGTGGGGTGTCAGATGCTGTGGATATGGGAAAAGAAAATAGAACAGGATTGGAAGACAAAATTATGTTCTACCTGAGCCTTGCCTTGATTAGAATTAGGAGAAATATAACTAGGTACTTTGACCCCTTTTCTTCTGCTGTTGACTTGTTTTAGTACTGTCATGAATTACAAGTGCATGTAGCCAAAGGAAAGCCAGTCAGCTGTAGGTGTGGATCCAGCACATGTGAGGTTTTGAGTCAAGGGTGGGCCTGGAGACGAGGAGCTGGATAGTGGCCAGGGGAAGGGGAGGGAGTGCTGCACTGAGGATAGGTGTCACTGCTTGCAGGAGGGATGCCAGCCTGGCGCAAAGCAGGGCTTGCGCAGAGGTGGTGGTGATG